CTCATTTGACTAAAATGGTAGAGGGTCTCCTGCTTGGACGGGGGTTTAGACTAGAAGACATCAAAGGTCCCTTCCAAATCTGTTATTCTGTTAACTAAATATGGTAGCCCTTGGTATTTGGAGCTTGGTAGGAAATAAAGTGTAGATTCAGAACTGTCTTCTAGCTCTTCAATGGGCCAATGATTTCCATTTCCATGGTCTATGAAACATGAGCCCTCCATGACACTTAGGTAGATCTCTGGATCAAGTTAGTTCAGAACTAGAAGAATCATTCTAGTTGCATGTTTCCAACTTCCAACTGGATACCACTCAGAACGTCTGAAGAGGTCTCCGTTCCCCCTCAACTTGTACTCACCTTCCCGCCCCTGATTTTGTACATTCCAATCCAGACTCTAAATGACTCTGCATAGTTGGTGAGTAGAGAAGAAGATATGGTGTCCATTTCCCGTTTGGTGAGGATGGAGGCGAGATGGGCCTTATTACCAAAGGAAGTGCATTCTGTCTGGGAGACACCAAGCAGACACAGGTTAGGACTTCCTGCTTTAGATGCTGACCCTGTCCTTTAGACCAGGGTCTTCAAACCTGGACACTTTAAGACTTGTTTGGACTTCCATAATTTTTCAGCCAGCAGATCTGACTATCGAATTCTGGGGCTTGAAAGCCAGAGGGAACCAAGGACCCCTAATTTCAACCATGATCACGTTGTGGCCACCACATTGACCTTTTTGACCATAATTTTTGGACACCTCTGCTCACTCCTTCCTTGCTTCCTTCCTTCCTCTCATCCTCCCTCCCTTCCTCAGAAAAGCATTATGCTCAGAAAGCAAAGCAATAGGCTGAGCATGAACCAGCCATCCAAACATGGAGATGGATGGAGCTCCTCTTACCTCTGCATCGTTCCAGCTCAGTTTGGTTTCGAAAAATCCGTAACAGTTCTGCTCAAACAGGAACCACCTATTGGGACAAGATACAGCTTCCAGACCTGTTGGTGGAAAGAGGAGATGTTGTCAAAGAGAAGGAAATGGGGGTCAACCATCCTGAACCCATAGATTCAAACTGCAGAGAGGAGGAGTAGGAGGAGAAGGAATTTGAAAAAGAGGAAGAAAAGAGATGCCCTAGAAATAAGGGCAGGACGGTGCCCAGCTGTAAAGAAGCCAAGATGTGGGTGGAGTGCAAAGGACGGTGAGAGGCTGGAAAGACAGGTG